CTATTCTGAGATGGTATATCCAGCGTACTCTCAACATCAGACGTAATTGCCGCTGTCTTTTTTATCTCATGCAAGACAAATGTTGATTCGGAGATCTCGAGAGAATATATATATATCCAATCTCAGCAGTGGATCATTATTTTGGACTGAGGTGAGGATGGATACAGGATAACAGTAATTGGAGAGCCTTATCTACTAATATTTATCACCAGTTAAGCGGAATTGTTATATCCGCTGCAGTTTATTACTCCAGATAAAATAATCCACGAGAAGACATGAAATCGCTTATCGGAAGTGACGTCATAAGACCGGAGTGACGTCATAAGACCGGAAGTGACGTCATAGGACCGGAGGTGTAGTCATATGATCGGAGGTGACGTCATAGACCGGAAGTGGTGTCAGTAACACCGGACGTGACGTCATAAGTCCGGAAGTGTAGTTATAAGTCCGGAAGTTCTCAGATTTTGATAAGAACGATATCATCATTTAGGAATTAATTCAGTTATTGATCTAATTTCTCTCCAAATATCCTCTCTCACGTTAACTTCCTGTTCTAGTAATGAATTAGCAAGATATCGAGGTGGCGGGAATATTGAACAGGAAGTTATCTAAGTCATAGTTATCCCGAAGGGGAATTCTGGGATTCAAGAGGTATAGTGGTATTCTTATGCTTCCTCATTCACTGGGGCCCTCCATCCTTATGTGGGATTCTGGCAACCATAATCCAGAGGGAACGTTTACAACATAATTAGGAACAATTACGGATGTTGTTAGTAATTATTAGTAAACTTACCTCTGGATTATGGGATTTAGGTCCCTACCTTCCTCCCCGCGAAGTGTATGAGGAGAAGTATCTTTTTTTTTAAAAAAAGAAGAAAAAATTATGAGGGTGTTCAAAGAACAATGCTGTGACGTCACAGCTAATGGAGATAATCATGTCTCTATTTAGGCATACCTCTAGGGATAGCTATGACTTAGAAAAAAATTAATCTCTTTCATTCTGTATGTATCTGTGGTACCCACAGGAAACTGGCAACCATAATCCAGAGGTAAGTTTACTAATAATTACTAACAATATCCGTAATTGTTCCTTTTGTCCTTCCATGATGGTCGGCAGAGGATTTATTGTCGCAATGCAGCGCGAATCACAACTGCAACTGTGGCCATGCATAATCAATTTGGCCATGGTTTGGGCAGGGATAACTCCTACTGGACGTACTGCACATGGTCGACGGTAATCTTACGGGACAACGTTATCGGAACGAGATTCTGGCTCCTATAGCAGTACCATTCCTGCAAACTATGCATGGTTTTTATGCTCGACTGCAAGACAACAACGTTAGGTCTCATAGAGCAGTATTGTGTAGAGCGGATGGAGCGGCGAGAATGCTCGCCAGACCTCAACCCAATTGAGCATGCCTGGGATGAACTCGGTCCACGTGTGAACAAACGTCACCCAGCACCAGTGGATCTCCCAGGACTGCCCAGAGCTCTAGTAGAGGAAAGGAAAGCGATTCTGCAAGCTGTGGTAAAGGGGCTTTCACACTTATTTCGAATTGACAGGAATCAAGGAGAATCAGCCAGAAAAAAATACTTCCAAAATTCGAACCGCATTCGGGAGAGAATGTCAAAATAAACATTTTTTTCAAGCTTTGTAAGAATGCTGTCAAAATATTCTGGCTGACAGAGGAAATTAAGGAGGAGGCTGTATGGACATTACACAAGACTGATGGAGGAGCTCAGAGTTGAGGACACGCAGTCATTCTTCAACTACCTTAGGATGGAGCCTGCCATGTTTGATGAGTTGGTGCAGAAAGTGGGACCAAGAATAAACAAGCAGGATACATATATGAGAAAGGCGCTACCTCCAGGCTTGAAGCTGGCCATGACACTGAGGTTCCTGGCTTCAGGTGATCAGCCTCATCATCCCAGAAGTATGTAAGGTCATTGTGGAGGAATACAAGGATGAGGTTATCATCTGCCCTACCACTCCGGAAGAATGGGCACCCATTGAAGAGGTATTCAGAAACAGGTGGAATATTCCTTTGGCAAACATGTAGCCATTAGTAAACCTGCCAAGAGCAGCTCATTGTACCACAACTACAAGGGCTTCTTCTCTGTGGCCCTCATTGCCCTTGTGGAAGGAAATTACAAGTTCCTGTGGGTGGACGTTGGTGCTTACGGAAGTATGTCTGATGCTCAGATCTTCAACGAGTGCGAGCTCAAGGATTGCCTTGAAGACGGGAGCATATGATTTCCTGATCCGTTCCCCTTACCCCAAGATGACGAGCGTATGCCGTGCTTTATTCTGGGAGATGATGCCTTTGGAATAAGGGCCTTCTTGATGAAACCGTATGGTCATAGGACTCTCCAGAGAGACGAGAGAATCTACAACTACAGGGTCAGCAGGGGCCGACGGGTAGTAGAAAATGCATTTTGAATTATGGCCCAGAGTTGGCAAATCCTCCTCACCACCACGCTGTCAAGGCCTTCCGTTGTGAAGGACATCATTGAATGCTGTGTCTGCCTGCACAACTTGATGAGGACTCGTTATCCTAATCTCCACAATGGTATGGTGGATGAGAAAGATGAGCAACGTGGTGCCAGGAGGCTGGAGACAACTTGCGCAGCTTGAAGATGTGAATGATCTCTGAAGTTTCAGTGACAGGCGGCTACGTTTTCATGTGATTCGGCGGTGTTCTGATGACGTCAGGGCTCATTTGAAGAGCATTCGGGACGTTCTGACTGTATTCGAGGTGTATTCGAAGTACATTCGGGCTGTATTCCAAGTGCAATCGAAATATTCCGATACGTTTGAAGAATATTCCACCTAAATTCAACCAGCAATCGAAGTACATTCGAGGCGCATTCGGGACATTCTTGAAGGATTTGAAGTGCTTGCCTTTTCGATTCTCCCTCGAATCCGTTCAGAATGCTTAGAATGCAGTTAGAATGCACTTCAAGTGCTGTTCGATATTTTTCCACTTCGAATGTACCTCGAAAGTTTTGAACATGTTCAAAACATTCGGGCATGTTACAAGAATTGACACGAATAGTTGGAGAGCATTCGGAATGGAGTAAGAAGTTTTAGAATGCAGTTCGAATTTCCAGGAATTGTCATTCCGACGGCATTCCGGCTCATTCCGCCTCAAGAGTGAAGGGGGTATATAAGGAGCATGAGAACAAGGTGTGTGTGTGTGTTGGTCTAACTGATGTTAGCTAGTGCTCTCTGAACTTTTTGTCTGTACATGTATGTCACGATGTGTCACGTTTGTCAAAACATTAAAAAATATGATGACACTATTATTTCTGAGAAACGCTTCTTTACATGTGCTATAATATCATTTGACCCTTTATTAATAACGATGAGTATACATTCAGAACCTAATCATTAGCCTAGGTATTCTTTACAGAGAATGCCAAACACCAGTTCAGTGTCCACACTAGAATGTCGACAGTTAAAGTCTACTGTGATGCACTGCCGCCCGTATAAGAGTGAGTGAGTGAATTTAGTTTAACGCCGCACTCTGTAAACAATCGAGTCTGGACCAGACAATCCAGTGATCAACAGCATGAGCATCGATCTATGCAATTGGGAACCGATGACATGTGTCAACCAAGTCAGCGAGCCTGACCACCCGATCCAGTTAGTCGCCTCTTACGACAAGCGTGGGTTACTGAAGATCAATATTCTAACCCGGACCTTCACGGGTCGCCCGTATAAGAGGAAAGGCACATGTTTCGGGCCAATGACCACTCTTATCAGGTGCCTATTTCGTTCACAATTAGATATTTTCACAGACAGCGTAACCCAGTGTGCTAGCCCAAGGCGGCGGAATTCGTTACGGAAGAGACAACCATGTTCAAGGAAGCCAAAGAAATCTTTGCTCGCGAAAGTGCCCAAGCATGTGGCGAAGAAAATGGCTGAAGCACCCTGAAAATAGTTTCATTTGAAACGGTTATGTATTGGTATTGGTTCTATTGATTCCATTTAGATAAAATTCAACCGTTTGTTTTGTTCCAAACATAGTTAACGACACGATAATGTATCTTGCGTGTCGCCCTGAAATTCCCCGGTCTTCTAAGTGATAGCTGAAAGGTCTTCTTCATTTTTAATACAATGGGCAGTGTTAATGTGTTTCATCTTTCCTTTCCTAACTAAGTGATAAACTACCGCAGGATGTAAGATCTAATACCCCATAAGGCACCTGCGCGGTCAGCGTGGTGCAGTCGCCGTTACTTCTCACAGAGGACACAATGGGTCAGTGGTCACCATATTAACCGTGATGGGACGAACAGTCAAGCATGGCTGCCATAAAGAAACCCTGTGTTAGATAATTGCTCATACCATCAATCATCGGTTTGTCTGGTCCAAGGTTTATTTGGTGACCCTTTATCGACCCTTTCCAAGCATTCATTAAACACGTCTATTAACCGTCATACTTGTACAAGGACCCATGAACATCCGGGTTACAATTGGTCTTCAGCAACCTATGCTTGTTGTAAGAGGTGACTAACGGCATCAGGTGGACATGCTCGCTGACACATGTCATCGTATCCCAATTGTGTAGATCGATGCTCATCCTGTTGATCACTGGTCGAAACTCTGGTTTAACCACTGGTTAAAACAAACAAAAACTTGTCCAGTGAAGATGGACCATGATTTTCCGACAACTCATCACCTATAAGAGGATGTCCTATTCACTGTGATTATGAAATGAAAAGTTCGAACTTAAAACCAAGGAAGTTTCGTGTATATTCACCACTGTGAAGCCCAACGGGGGCGGTGGGGTAGCCTGATGGTAAAAGCGTTCGCTCGTCACGCCGAAGACCCGGGTTCGATTCCCATCATGGGTACAAATGTGTGAAGCTCATTTCTGGTGTCCCCCGCCGTGATATTGCTGGAATATTGCTAAAAGCGGCGTAAAGCCAAACTCACCCACTTACTCACTGAAGCCCAACGGTTAACAGCATGAGCATGAAGCGAAAAATACATTCGGTCAAATACATGAACAGAGAGTGCGTTTATTTACAGCATGAACGTGATGGTTGTGTACAATATAAATAAACATGGTTGAGAAATCAACATATGATGATACGTTCGCAAGACTAATGACAAACACCAAAACATCAGACAGAGGTTGTTGAACAGCTCCTTCCTGTACTAACTGTCGTGACCAATCGGAAAGGTTGATATTAATGACGAATGTCAAAATACACCGCTTGTATGACATGAGGGTCATACCAACTCTCGTTCCTCCAGGGCAAGGAAAGTAATACTAGTAAAGCCTGCTGAAGGGGAGATTCTCATCCTGCCGGGTACCCAGTCACTGGAACGTTCACAACCTGTGATTCAGTTCCAGACAGGATAGAATAAGAAACTTGCATGAGCCAAGATTTGGGTAATTGTTTGAAAAATAAATTATAGATGGCATATCTGAAAAAATTGAGTTGAATGATACACATCTAAACACTGTAACCAGCAAATACTGGTATGTTAAATAGGTAATTAAAACGAGTGGACATTACTGACCGCTAGACGGGATGAGAGCGTGACATTATTTGAATACTCGGGTGTGGTATATTTGCTCAGTGCCCTGGTTGTTCGTCGCATCTAAGTTGAAACAGAGATTCGAAGACAGATATGTACCCAGCCCCGTGGTTCTGTATCTCCATGGCAATATGTCGGCAAACCTACACTAACCCGGGATCCATTCCGGGGTCCTCACAATCTCAATATTACCTGCCTTGATTAACCATTGTCAATTTTGATTGGCTACGCTACTCGATCTAACATTTCGTCCATTTTTAAGGACGCGTGAATGTATATTAAAACTTCGGGTGGCTTTGGTGTCTAGGTAATATGGAGTAACCTCCCTTACCCTCTCGTCGACGCTTGAATTGTTGGTAAAATGAAAATCAGGCGATCGTACCAACCACGGGAATGGATCTAAGGGTTAGATAAAGTTAACCTAGATGTGGGCTCTGGGGATATACAGGCTATATGCCTGTTGTGTCATGACTGGGAATGTACTTACATAGACAGATAACATGTGGCGAGCTGCACTAGTGTGTACAAAAAGCATGGGAATGAAACTTTCCTAAGTCATATTAGATCACTAAAGGTTCATAGCATATTTACACAGGTTTCAAGGTCGGATACATTCGATGTGAAGATCAATAAATAAGTGCCCACGTGTTCAGGGTCCAACCAACGTCCATGTTGGAAATACCAACAGCTGCTATATCACCAGTGACTGTATACTTTAGATTCTTACACATATGTACGGCTTCTGATTCAATCTAGAAACATTAAAGTTAGTAACCATACAATCAACTGGATATATCGAGTTTGCTGAACACAAGGACATGTCATGTTTATGTTGAACCCATGTTTGGCTATTTCTTTCTTATCGGTACCTCGATACCGTAGCCCAACACTAAGTACAATAGTACATAAATAAGCTTGATGTTCCTAACCAGGGCCGTTTTTCTGGAACAACATTCAGCAGATACCGTTACCAGGCTTGCATATATTCGTTGTACGTGTACACATTTGATACTTTATAATTTGCTTCGCAGATACATAGGTGGAAAAAAGGTTTGCATAAATCTCACGATGCAAAAGGAGCCGGCAGATGACAATAAAAGTGGAAACATAAGTGCACGATCCTTTCCGGTATATCAGGAGCGATGCTTGCGTACACAATTTGTATATAGTCTGTGCAAGTGCTCTCACTGCTGCGTTTATAGACGGTAACCTTCAGTGTTAGTATAAGCCAGTAATTGCCACACCAAAATGTCTGCAATGACGAGACGATGTCCCAGTTTAAGCTGTGACGTAATGATGTCCCAGTTTAAGCACTGACGAGACGATGGTCCAGTTTAAGCATGATGGTTTCCTTGAATCTGACAGTAGCTGTTCCTTCACGGGCATCTGATAATTCCTGGATGACAAATGGTGCTGCCAGTTTGTTCCCCTACCTCACGAAATGTTATATAAACTGTCCTAGATTGGCGAGGGGGCTTCATCAACTTGATACAGACAGAGTCAGAGATCGGAAGACGAGACATAAGCCACATACGATACCACTCCAATGAACTCTACTCGCGTCATTTCCCGATACAGCGCAGGATTTCTCCTTGGCATCCTTTTTCAAGGTCACCTGAAAGAACTGGCCCTTGCTGGGACTGTTCCTGTGGACGACACACTTGTACATCCCCGCATCACTCAGCCTGGGCTTCAGGATGATGAGCCGAGCGTCGGTCACCCGGTGGTGGTCGACCATGACGATGTTGTCGGATGACCGCAGCACGGATACATCGTCCTTGTACCATTTGACACGGGAACGATATCCCTTCATCCTACATATTAGATCTAATGGGCCGTCATTCTTGACCACAGTGTAGATTATATCCCCACTTTGTGAAACATCTGAAAAGACAACAGCAATTAAACTGTTAGTTACGTGTTGGGTGAGGTGGGGTTCGGGATGCCTAGGTCTCACCACAGTATCATGTTGTGCTGACCCCACGCAATGGCTTTCTCAAATACGACATGGATTCCTCAAATACGACATGGATTCCTCAAATACGAGTAACATTATTTAATGACACCCTCCCTCATCATTGTAACAGCCCAGTCAATAAACGACGTTCAACTGTATTGTTTCTTCGCAAAATGCACTGCGTCTTTTCTTCATGACTGTCAACCACCCCATCCCTTCCCTTCCTATGACTGGAACATATTTGACATCCCTCATTTGCTGTCATATATCTCCATGACCCACCACCAAATCTTACTGGCTTCCTCTGCAATTGTAAATGCCATGCCCCTAAAGCTTTCTTTGTTCTATAGAAAATAAACTGTAAATTGTGTTAAACTGAATTAAGATATCGTATCTGGGTTATTGTATAGTCGTCCCTCAAGCAGAATTGCCTGCATATTATTTAAATCCACGTGTGCTTCTCCCTCCAGTATCTCTCTCCACACTATAACTTGTATGATCAGTACAACTCGATAATCCTTAAGTGATCATCAACTCCCGTCCCCTCTCAACTTCCGCTGCAAGAAAACGTTCAAGTTAAGCCCAACCCACCTTCTGATGGCTTACCGTAGGCCTCACCCTTTTTGCCATGTAAAACTATCCCCGGCTCTGTTGACGAATCTTTGCTTCCAACATCGATGTCTATCACCTTCGTGGTTGACACAGGAGATGTCGTGGACGACTCTGTTTCATACATCAGTGTAGTCGTATGTTCCCTGTCTGTTGTTGGAGCTGCCGCCATCTTGGTTTCTGTCGTCAGCTCTTGCATCTTTGGCTGTGACGATTCCGTGACTAAGAGTACGTTGTGAGTTACAGCGTCCTGAGTGGTCATGTCTTCGTCATCACCGGTTCCGTTGCCTGAACCGTAGTCTGTTTCGTAGTCATACTCGTCTGGTGGAGAAAAGGAGACATGGTTACTTCATGCCTGCCAACTTCATGGCTTGAGATGCGTTCATTACTCATGCCAGGCTCTCACGACAAAACTGATGGATCTTACGCCAAACTGGGCCTTTTCTTTAGCATGCACATTTTGACCGTAAAGTCACACACATAGGTCTGAATACATCGTTTACAGTAAAATCTGAGAAGGAAATTTGCTATTATGGGTTGGCCTCGCCCCTCTGACCCCGACCAGGTTCAACCCTGCGGGCCTTGGACCCACGCATCTCAAACTTTTCTCTCTTGGGGTTGGAAGCCGCAGTACTTGCACTTTGATTCAGCGACACAGGTATAGATGGAAGTATTTTAGTAATTTTACGGCTCTGAACAGGCATACTTGGTTTACTTGTAGGTCTCCCAATCTTACTGATATACTTCCAATAAAGCTCACTGGTAGATATTCCAGCTATATCACGGCATTCGGTAAATAATCCAGTCTGGATCAGGCAATCCAATGATTGTCATCATGAGGATCTAAACAAATGTGATACATTGACATGCATCGATGACGTCTACGAGCCTGACGACCCGTCAGCCGTTAATCGCCCCTCAAGACAAGCATGTGTTAATGATTAAGGTATATTAGCATTTTTCGGTTTGAAGCTGGAAACGTTGGGGAACAAACGACGTTTTCGTTCAATGCAGAAAATACATATAGTCCGTTTGGCTCAAAAGCGGACCGATGAATTGCAATCTAACTCGAAAACTAATAAAAAATACCATACTCAATGAAACCCTGATCATAATCAAAACATCATACCCACTCTGTGAGGTTTTTGCAGAATTTTTCTCCTAAAAATAAAAAAGTTGTTTAACAAACTATCATTCAAATATTGACACAGTTCACTGTTTGTTACGAGGGAGGAGTGCAGAGAAAGGGACAGCCAGGTGTTCGAGAACGGATGGAGACGGCACAGCACAGGTTAATGAATAAATAACTTTGTGAACGTGCTTCTCGAACACCTGGCTGTCCCTTTCTCTGCACTCCTCCCTCGTAACAAACAGTGAACTGTGTCAATATTTTAATGATAGTTTGTTAAACAACTTTATTATTTTTAGGGCAAAAATTCTGAAAAAAAACTCACAGAGTGGGTATGATGTTTTGATTATGATCAGCGTTTCATTGAGTATGTTATGTTTATTAGTTTTCGAGTTAGATTGCAATTCATCGGTCCGCTTTGAGCCAAACGGACTTTTATAGTTGAGTGATTCGACAGTCTATCCTTCACATGCTATCTGGAGTGTTCATAGTACCCAACAGACCAAAGTAGAGCCTGTGCGTCGTTACACAAAGCACATAGCACAACGATTGTCCAACAGACTGGCGGCACACATGAAGTACATCACTTTGTGTAACGGTACCCACTACAACACGTACTGCAACAGCGGCGACCATAACTATTGCAGGAAGACAGAAATGGCCTTCAAGTAATGGAAGTATCTACCAGTTGGTCATAGTTGAGATGGAGGTGATAGTTCAGATGTTGGTCATAGATGAGACATAGGTGACATCAGAGATGCAGGTCATACATTTGAGATATAAGTCATAGTTGAGATAAACCAAACACTCACATTACAATGAACATGCATAAAATATATACATTGTACAGTAGGATGGAACAACAGCATCCACAACAAGCTCATGCACAAAATTACATGCACGCCTCTTAAATTCCAGAATTAGTGAATACATGGCGGGAAGTGTATCCCTTTCACAGCACTGTCATCAAGGAGATTGCACATGAGACCCTTCGCATTGAGAGTTATATAGAAACTGGGATATGCTGATGTAGAAATCGTCACGGTCATTTTGTTAATGGTTGTAGCAGCAGTAGTGGCAACAATGATGTTGTAGCAGCAGTAGTGGCAACAATGATGTTGTAGCAGCAGTAGTGGCAACAATGATGTTGTAGCAGCAGAAGTGGCAACAATGATGTTGTAGCAATGGAGTAGGCATGAGCAATGGAGTAGGCATGAGCATCTGTCTACACAACTGGGATACGATGACAGGCATCAGCCAAGTCAGCGAGCCTTGACCATCCGATCCCGTTAACATGGGTCGCTGAAGACTAAATCTAACCAGGATCATCACGGGTAGTAGTAGTAGTAGTAGTAGTAGTAGTAGTAGTAGAAATAGTAGTAGTAGTAGTAGTAGTAGTAGTAGTAGTAGTAGTGATGGTGGTGTCGGTAGTAGAAGCTGAAGTATTTGGAATGGTGTCAGTAGCAACAATGGAGTATAGTAGTGAAGTGGTGTAAGGAGTGAAACAAGGGGTGAGTCAAGCTGGCCACTCACATTCTCTCTCCGCCGTGCTGACTTGCTCTGCATCACTGTACGTCCGCTGCCCACTGTCCATTGCCACGACCCGCACCTCGTAGGTGGACTGTGGGTGCAGGCCGTACACGCTCTGGGAGAACCGGAAGTCGTCTATCCCCGCCCCGCGTATCCAGACGTCTGTGCCTGATGTTACATTGGTATTATTCTGGATGATTACACTGCCACAGCACCACTTACTTAGTCAAATGTAACTAGCATGTACTACCTGCTGGAACATCCTTGCGACAAGTGTATATGCATAACCCACCCAGTATGGTGTATCATATAAACATACATAATGTAACAGTTGGTTTGTGTTTCTCCCAGCCCAGCAGCTTGCACCATTAATATATTAACTTCCCAACCTATTGGATCATGTATTTATCACCTAATCAATATATTGTCCCATGCATGGATCACTACCCAACACTTTGTACCCTTAATGAATTAACAACCCAAAGAGATTGCATCATGTATCACCTAGTCACCAGTTTGTATCATGTGTGCATCACCTAGTCAACAGTTTGTACCATGTATGTATCACCTAGTCAACAGCATGTACCATGTGTGTATCACCTATTCAACAGTTTGCACAATGTATGTATCACTAGTCAACAGTTTGTACCATGTATGTATCACATAGTCAACAGTTTGTACCATGTATGTATCACCTTCCCAGTAGTTTGTACCATGTTTGTATCACCTACCCAGCAATTTGTACCATGTGTGTATCACCTAGTCAACAGTTTGTACCATGTATGTATCACTTAGTCAACAGTTTGTACTATGTATGTATCACCTACCCAGCAGTTTGTACCATGTATGTATCATCTGGTCAACAGCATATACCATGTATGTATCACATACCCAGCAGTTTGTACCATGTATGTATCACCTACCCAGCAGTTTGTACCATGTATGTATCATCTGGTCAAAAGCATATACCATGTATGTATCACATACCCAGCAGTGTGTACCATGTATGTATCACCTACCCAGCAGTTTGTACCATGTATGTATCATCTGGTCAACAGCGTATACTATGTATGTATCACCTACCCAGCAGTTTGTACCATGTATGTATCACCTACCCAGCAGTTTGTACCATGTATGTATCACCTACCCAGCAGTTTGTGTTCCAGGCGGTAATAAGCGGCGGCTCTGGTGTCAGAGCTGTTCTGGAGATCCCAGGTAACTTCAACTTCTGTGTCCGTCGGTTCCATGTCCACAATCTGTGGCTTTGTAATTGCTGAAATCCATTTTTGTTACAACTAAAACATCTTTATAGATACAGACATGCACTACCATCGGACACCGTTCGGTAATATATCAACATCCGGTACGTCAAACCCGTACAAGAACATATCATGAATATACAGCCAATCAAATTAGAAAGGAAAATATCAAATAACTCACACATAAACCAACTGAAGACAGTGTGTAAAACTGTCGATGAACCTATTAACGTGCAAAATGAAGATATAAGGCCGGACACCACGCAATACCTGTCGTTTTCTTGGCCGTTTTAGCATCCTTGTAGATCGGGTCTCCCTCGCCCTTCGACGTCAGTGCCCACACATACAGGCGGTACTCCGTGTTGGCCTGGAGATCCTTAATGAAAGAGCGCCGTCTGGTGGTCACTGGTAAAACCGTCACATTTCCTGTGTGTGTGCTATCCACTGTAACGAACACAACATTGTCATTACTCCCCAAGCACCTATGACTGCAAATAGTTCACTTTTAATAAATGTCAGAAAATGACACCTGTGAAAAAACTAAGTACAGGGTATTGTAAAGGACATTGTACGACAACTGGGTTTAAGGCAAAACGTTTAAAAACTACTCTCAAAATTACCAGATGTGTATATATTATATTCGTTTCAGCACTTGCATTTGTGGACACTTTACAATACTCAGTGTATCGAAAGGATAAGAAAGTAACCCTTTTTTCGGACTTGTCTAATGTGACTACGTCGTTGACCCATTACTTCTGAGCCAATTGTATGTACTATATCATGCAAGAACTCCATAACGGGATTACAAAAACAATTATTTGTCAGTCATTTGAACATATCTAATCATCTTCAAACCAAAGTTTCAAAGTTTTCAGTCAATATGAAATTTGATGTTTCTAATGAACTATCACTGCGTCCTCTGTTGTGTTATTGATGACATAGAGAAACGAAGTCCATACATATTCCAGAAGTATCCGTTTGGTCTGTTGTTAAGTTGATCAGATCGTAAATCAAACCATTTCCTCAAAACATTCTGAAAAAAGCAAACGTTAACGACCCACATTTATCCCGGGGACTTCTAGTCCGAGGAAGGTAGAGTGCTATAACTGTTACACTTACTCTGCTTGTAGCCCACTTTGTAGCCAGTCAGAATACCGTTAGTGTTGGCTGGCTCCCCCCACTCCACCAGGAAATGGATGGCTCCACGGTGCAGCACGTTCAGGTACTCTGGGGGATTCGGCACTGTCAACAGGGAAAACCAGTCAAATCTACCCTCCTAGTTTACATCCACATCGTGTCTAACACATACGTGTCTGTGAATTCATGTATATAATATAATCACAAGCAGAAACATACTTTGAACAACAGACACTCTGCTACGTTAACGTTCATTTTGATGTTAACATTTTCCAGATCCACAAGAACAGTGACGCCACTACTGGTGCCGCCCGACAAGAATGATGAGAGTTAAATTAAACATGATGCTTCGATCTTGAAACAGATAAATATATGGCAACAGCATACCTCCTTCTGGAGTGCTGAAGTTGACGACGTTGCTGCCGATGCTCTTGAAATGTGTGTTGGCAACAGTGACGTCAGCCTGAAGATCGGAGTACATCGGCAAATTCCGGATTACTGTTTGAGTTCCCGATGTTTCCGTGGATTCGAGTGGAACCAGGGTTTCAAACATGTTGTCTGGGTCCCCTGACTTCCAGTATCGGACCTGGAGAAGAACCAGGCAAGGTCATGGTGCGATGGCAGTTTAACCTCTCAGTGGTTAACCGTCAAAGTGTCACAAATGCAAAGCACTATCAATGTTATGTAACGTATGCGTATATTTAACCGGTGGTCCCTGATGTTAACATAGCTGACCCGTACACATTACATGGGTTATCAAATGAAATATGATATTTGTTTCTTCTTTCTGCCGCACTTGACAAAATTCCACTTAAATGAAGGCGTTCTGTAAATAACCAAGTCTTGGACCACAGACGGATATCAGGATTCACGAACATCGGTGTACGCCGTTGTCATGACATTTAACATCCACGTCTGTCCACCCGATCCCGTTAGTCGCCTCTTACAAATACATAATGCCACATGTAAATCCTTTAAGAAAATCTTTCAGTGAGAAGGTAATGTTCTTGAATGAAACATAACCACAGCCTTGCCCTGTACACATTTCTGAGCATGTTGTCCAGGACTAAGCAGTCCTTACACAGGAACTGTTCAGTATATAGTACTTGGGCAAGAAGTTCCGGCAGTTCCAGGCACGTCGACACCCCCCGAACCTCATCACCACCAACCTCCCCTCAAACCTCAACACCGCCAGCCTCCCCTCAAACTTCACCACCAACAACCTCCCCTCAAACCTCACCACCAACAACCTCCCCTCAAATCTTGTCACACCATCTTCCCATCAAACCTCATCACCAACAACCGGCCCATCAAATCATACCATGTATCCCTGCAGCTTTCCTCGAATCAATTCTGGGTCGTCTTCAACCCCTGTCCACGAGAACAGGGCTTGTCCTTCATCCAGAGGGGATGAGTCGCTCAGAGTCAAATTGTCAGGAAAGACCAGCGGGACTGAAACAACATTGAAACAAGACACTGTTAAAATTGCCAGGTCTTGGACATATTCCACGTTTTCGGATCAAGGTTTCGTCAGTGCATGAAGTGCATGCATTATCAACATAAGATGAATGGGGTTGGGGACGCACCCCCTTTCAGAGCTTGTTAAACACGACATGTTAAAGGAAGAAAGGCTACATAAAGTACTGGCTACATCGTGTACTGGCTACATAAGGTACTCGGAGAAAAAAGATCACAATCGACCCTAATCTCCAAACAGCAGGTGACATTAGCCCATACAGTGTAGGTGAATCTAATCCTGCAAGTGATTGTCAGGCATGTATCGTAGGCAGTTTGGAACAGGGTTTATCGGGGAAATCTATAATATTCCTTGAGTAATGTAAATTGAATATCTCTCTAAGTAATGACCATGCTGTCAATGGAAATGAATCAACACAACATGACCATTGTCAGTGTGGCCACCACCATAGAGTCCTTAGCTGACTATAATCAAAGTTAGACATAGGCTGGTTGGCCACTGAAGGATGTCAATGTGGATGAGGTGCGGGATACTACAGGCTGACCAGACATCTGTCGTCAATGCGACACGTGACAGTCTGATCAGAGCCTTAGGGATAAATTGAGAATGCTTTGTGTTAGTCGAGACTGGACCCTGAGACAGCGACTAGGCAGGTTGGCTGACCATCGCCTCCGACATGCCGCCTAGTCATTGTTGTAACATCATGTAGTTATACACATTGAATCACGAATAAAAGTGTTGTGGACCCACTGATGGACTTCTGTCATTGAAGACACAGTTATCCCTTTTTTAACAACCCGGGATACATGGTGGTGAAGTGAGTTGGCTGGTATGAGCACCAATAGAGACCTTGATATTTGAAGAGTAAATAATTAATTTCTTACCATCTAATTGTTCAAAGTGTGAAGTACAATCTGGTGGAAAAAGAACGGTAATGGTAGTGGAACATGAAGCTCTCGCCAACAGTAAGTCACTCACTCACTCACTCACTCACCTCCCTCTCCGGAGTAACCCCTGTGACTCTTGGCAGGCTCTGCAGGTTCGCCGTTACGGTTGACGGCCTTGACTGTTACAGTGTAGGGCTGGTAGACGTTATCAACTGGCATTTCAAAATGGTCCTTGAAAGGGTCATTTAAGATGAAGCTCTGGACAGTGTTGTCCCCCCTCCTTGCTGACCATGACGACGTAGTGGAAGCCGGGGCCGTTGTGCTGGATGAGTGGCATCGGCTGCAACAGATCAGGGACCTCGTGCTCACTTGATCTTCAGGCGTCTATTTCTCCTCACCATCCCTCTGACCCTATATCCCCGCAACCCGCCACTCTTCATTCGTTTGCCATGTAACCCTGCCAACCCTGTAACTCCAGCCTACACCAGAACCCTAATAATCAACAGTGCCCAACCATCACTGTGAGTAGCCAGTCACAGAAAAAAATCTTATTTATAACTTTATATCTACAAAATAGAAAAATTGCCAAATTATTCTACAATCGCTAAGGCTTCATTTCCATATGTATTTTGTAAGATCAAGGTGACAGAACACCACCACCCTCAGACCACGTGGACTATACATACTTCCCACTCCACCGCCAGGACGTTGGTTGTGTCTGTGATGGTCTTCACCTTCTTGGGGTGGGAAGCTGGCCTTTTTTCAGGGGTTTCACAAGCATCCATGGTAGGGGCACTCGGAATGCCGGGCCCAATTTCATTCACTGCCTTCACACGGAAGGTATACGAGGCGAAGGACGACAACTCCACTTTAGTTTGACGTTTATTTCCTCCCACAGTTTTCATCTTGTACCAATTTCCTGGATCATAGGCTGTGCTGTACTCCACAAAAAACCGCTTGAGAGGTGAATGGTTGGTCTGAGATATGTTGAATTTCCAGGCTATGGTGGCGGTATTTTTGTCACAGCGTAACAGAGTCAATTTTGAAGGCTGGCCCGGGGGTGCTGTTGGTGATAACATCAGGAAGGGTTACTTCAAGTCAGAAATCTATCTAAACCTCCATACTACACCTTGTACAATATACGTCCCCTGTTGACAATATATGTAACAGCAGAACTCATAAACACTGCTGAATTTCCACTACCCCATCTTGATTCTCTATAGGTAATATTCATGTTTATATAGTATATGATTTATGGTTTAATTGCTCAACAGGTCTCGGAATCCTTTGCATAGAAACTAAACACTAAGCACTGTGGGCTGCGAGAGTGAGGGTGTGGTTTGAGGCCGCTTTGATCAGTGTTCCACCGCTGTGGAAGTAAGGCCTAAAATAATGCAGGTTTTGGATGTTTACTACTTTCATTAACCCCACGAGCAAGGGTATGGATATGACCACCCTGGAACTATGATTGCTGCAAACCAAAATCCGATCACTGATTTCTGGCGCACCCAAGGGACGCAACTCTGCACAGCCAATTGTTCAAGTTTTAACTTTGTAGTAGTAATGTCCCCACCTTTGATGTACAGGCCTGTATATGGAGATGTGTATTGGGTGTCTACTGCATATGGCTCTGACTTCTGTCTGTGTAACTGAACTAAAGCCTTCTTGGACATTTTTGGCTAATGTGTCTTTCTTGTGTAGTTCTAATATAGACAGCCCTCCAGTTAACTTTAATGGTGGAAAATGCAATGTCCACTGACCAGGCAAACCAGTGAGAATGGACGTTACAGCTCACGATCCAGTGGCCTAATGGCTTAAGGAGTGACTCTCCTAAACTAGACTGAATTATCTCGTCTAAGCCCCACAACTCTGGCGGTATGTCCATGACAGTTCCTTACCCTGGACCAGCATACGTGCAGACGCCATGTCGGAGTCGATACCGTTGGTTGCCATACACGTGTACACAGCTGTATCTGCCAAGGCAACCTTGGCCATGACCAGCCCGCCGTTCTGCCGCTTCAGCTGGGGGTTGGTCAAGTCCAGCGTTATGTTGTCCTTCTTCCACATATAGCGGAGGTTGCTGGCCTCAGCAGGGTCAGTGACGGCCTCGCACTGCATCACGGCATTCTGTCCCGTCCTCACAGATACGTCCTTCGGAGCGTGTACAATCCGTGTGGGATCTGAAAAGGAAGTGTGCCAATATACTACTTTCGTTAGTATCCAGTTGAACGTGAACGATTAGAATGTCAGCCTCAAGATTTCTGAACAGATACAACTCAAATTCAAAGATAGCATCTGTACACCATGCTTCAAAGTTGTGTTACCAAGACCACGTAGCATTGTGGGTAAGTCCTCATACATATCATAACAACGCGCATTGCAATACGATCTGAATGATGAAATACAACAATACCAGTTAATACCTCTGGTACACGCTGCTATTTGTTACTAAAATTAACATTTCTTTGGCTACAAAAGTTAACCGAGCCTCTCGACTCTCAAATCGTTCCAAGCACAGGGGAAAGCCATGGTATGGCGTTGTTTTGGTATTACAAGAAGAAAGTAAGGTCTTTGAATGGCATTCAGGAATGATACAAAAAAGGAAGAGATTCTTTATGGATGTCAACTTTTCTATTATGAGGAACTCATCGTTTCTGAGTATATCCTTACTCTCATGAGGCAGTTCAAAATTGAAGGAGCACAAAGCAGTATGTCATGAAAAAGGCAAGATGGACAGACAGTTACACAATACCCAAGCCAACCACAATGTTATTATCACCAAATCTGTTATAGTCTCAAGTACCGGTGACCCACAATGCTACTATCACCAAATCTGTTATAGTCTCCAGTACCGGTGACCCACAATGTTACTATCACCAACTCTGTTATAGTCTCAAGTACCGGTGACCCACAATGTTACTATCACCAAATCTGTTATAGTCTCAAGTACCGGTGTCCCACAATGTTATTATCACCAAATCTGTTATAGTCTCCAGTACCGGTGACCCACAATGTTATTATCACCAAGTCTGTTATAGTCTCCAGTACCGGTGACCCACAATGTTACTATCACCAACTCTGTTATAGTCTCCAGTACCGGTGACCCACAATGTTACTATCACCAAATCTGTTATAGTCTCCAGTACCGGTGACCCACAATGTTACTATCACCAAATCTGTTATAGTCTCCAGTACCGGTGACCCACAATGTTACTATCACCAACTCTGTTATAGTCTCCAGTACCGGTGACCCACAATGCTACTATCACCAAATCTGTTATAGTGTCCAGTACCGGTGACCCAGAATTTTACTATCACCAACTCTGTTATAGTCTCCAGTACCGGTGACCCACAATGTTACTATCACCAAATCTGTTATAGTCTCAAGTACCGGTGACCCACAATGTTACTATCACCAAATCTGTTATAGTCTCAAGTACCGGTGACCCACAATGTTACTATCACCAAGTCTGTTATAGTCTCCAGTACCGGTGACCCACAATGTTACTATCACCAAATCTGTTATAGTCTCCAGTACCGGTGACCCACAATGTTACTATCACCAAATCTGTTATAGTCTCCAGTACCGGTGACCCACAATGTTACTATCACCAACTCTGTTATAGTCTCCAGTACCGGTGACCCACAATGTTACTATCACCAAATCTGTTATAGTCCGCGGTACCGATGACCCACAATGTTACTATCACCAACTCTGTTATAGTCTCCAGTACCGGTGACCCACAATGTTGCTATCTGTTATAGTCTCCAGTACCGGTGACCCAGTTTTGCTACAGTTAGAACTTCATTACATCAAAAGTATCTTCTTTGTTTACATCTTCCAACTAGAGAAGTCTCCCTGATTCACATCCTTATCAAGACCTGAGTGTCCAAGCTGTTCTAGTTCAAGCTGACGGACAGCCTGGCTCACACCAGGTTCACTTGTCGCATAGTAAGTTGCACAAACGTCCATAACAGACGTATCACACTACAGTCAAAAGCATTTATTTCAGGCATTTCAAAATTCACACACAGCTCCACCAATTGCCATCACAGGCAGGACCTGACACTGGACTTTGCTAAGGCAACGTTCACAGCCCTGGCCATTCTTGGTCGGGTGTATGTAAGAGGGGCCCTGGGAAGCTCGGCAAGACATGCAACTATTTCGCCGGTTTAAATACATTGCTGGCAGTAGGACAGTTTCTGTTAGTACGACGAGTCCGATGAGATTACGCGTACAGTATATGGATGTGATGCCATGTCCATACAAGAAATGTCTTGCTGTTAATATGCAGCTCTGCATAATTGGTTTTCAATACATTAAATTTGGGAATTCATGCTTTTGTCATGATATAATTTCTCGGCAAAACATCGATGTTCCCATTACTTCCCAGTTAGAAAATATTAATAAACATATATCAAAGTGACTATGTGGTGAAAAGTGTTAAAGTATAATAGACCGTGGATTGGTTTAACCACCACATAGGAAGTTATTCTTTGTTCCAGACCCAGGGATTCAACAAGGAACGCACTCTGTTGAACAGATTCCTACGTACGTCCTTGTAAAACATGCTTTTTGTACATGCTTGTGGCTGACATATACCTGTAGTTTACCAAGACAATAAAGGGCTGCAAGGAATGACTTACCTCTTATGATTACTGTGTATATACGGCTGTCCTCGCCGTATTTGTTCCGTACAAAACATTTGAACAGTCCACCATCTCTCATCATAGCTTTCTGAAAGACAACATGGAATTACAGACGCAGTTCCTGCAGCAGCACCAGAACACAGTTACTCGTCCCTTCCATTCCTCATTGCTTGCTGGTTTAGTCATCTACTTTATCGTCCAGTTTCTACAATACCTTATCACGTTTACATGAAGACATCCACTACATTTCCAGTCAGTGTCCAGAGAAGTTTACATGTGGATCATGCACCAGAGATAATAAAACCTGTCCGTTAAATACCACGCCTGGGTGATTTGAGTTCAAGGCAGTTTTTAAATTTATTTCGGTTTTTCCAAGGCTCAATGAGGGAGGAGAGTCCGAATTAAAACATGTCATGACTATTTCCTGTAATAGGCAATCATATCATCTGAACAGAAGAGTTTCCACAACCTGACTCAGATATGGTGATGCTTGAGAGAGAGACACCTGTCTTATAACACACTCGTCCTGATAACACTCACTTCGATCAGCAGGGATCCATTCTCAAAAAGCTCATATCTCCCATCTGCGTAAAGTTTCTTCTCTCCTTTGAACCACACCAGGCTCGGTTCGGGGTGACCTGTATGGTGGCAGTGTAGCATTGCCCTCTCCCCTCGAATGACCTTCACATCTGTGTGCGCAGGTTCATTGATGACTGCAGGGATGGCTAGAAAAAAGTCATGTCATGAACATGTTTGTGTTTACAAAATGTCCGCTGCACCTAGAAGTACCCAGGTCACAAATGTTCAAGCCTGCACCATTCCCAGACCGCCATAAACAGGATGTGAATGGCATAACAAATTAAAAGCAATTTTTCGTAGGAAATCCCACCTCAATTATGCAATAGAACCGTTAAGCTGTAATCCCGTTTAAGCAGAACATGTCCTACCTTCTGGAAGGGCTCTCAACCAATCGGTTATTTAAAGGAACTGCATTGGATAATTCATTTTAAAATCGGAACCCGTCATCATTCGACATGAAATCGTCCATAATACTCTCATATTTTGCCGTTGGGGTATTTCAATCAAAGCATGAATTATATCAAAGACAATTCTTGATATTTTGTATTAAAATATCATATTATGGGGAATAAGGCAGAAATAGGTTCTTTGCATTGCTTCAAATACAACGTAATTTTCCAGAACATTATATTTTATTGATGACTTCCTCATAATTCATTTTAAAAACGCTACACTGTCTGTGTGAACATACATCATGTTGGACAGCAATAACATGCTGTTATAACCCACAGGCTTTGAAAATAAATACATCAGCCAGAGTTTGAATTTTGTAGTTCCTGCAACAAAATGGCGCCCGACGTGTGTATGATGTGTTTTGACTGACTTAGCAATATTCCAGCAACATCACGGCGGGGGACACCAGAAATGGGCTTCACACATTTTACCCATGTGGGGATTCGAACCTGGTTCTTCGGAGTGACGAGCCAACGCTTTAACCACTAGGCTACCCCACCGCCCCATGATGTGTTTTGAAGGCCTGTTGGTTAGGTCATGAGACTTAGTGTAGCCATAATACAGCAAGTACAGAATTTGTAGGAATTATAATTCATCTAATTTATGTCACTACCATTTCACTATACTTCCCTGCACAGGCAACCTTACTTGTGTTCTGGCAGATACAACCTTGACTTTGACACATACTGTCATTGTAACTATTGTAGAGGCAGGTCATATCACTCCATTAACACTGCATGTGCCAGAGGGTCACCACAATATCAATTATATATCAAAGGAAATTGGAGCTAATATTCTGCTTTGAATTGTTATTAGCAGAAAAATTAGTTGTCTGCATTGCTTCATATATCATATAATGTTCCAGAACATAATATTTTATTGAAACTTCTTAATAATTCGGCAAGAGCATAGATCTTGTGATTCTGCGCTATCAGCTGTGACAGATAGATGCTATACATAACGTTTTACACCGCGCTCACCAAGAATATTGATGTAGGTGTCGGACCAGATGTAGCCGTGGATGTTGGAGGCGTTACACTGGACAACCATGGTATCTGTGCGTCGTGCGTTCATCAGCATCAACTTTCCCTCAGTAACTCTCTGGTTCTCTTTCGGCTCTCGCTCTGTAAGATGTTTAAAGATAGACCGATGTAGTATCAGGAGATGGATCACACTTTTGTTAGACATGAAGAGACAACATTTAAGTGAGAAGTATGGATCACAATTAGAAACATTTGTTTACCCTTATACAGGATTCTTTATGAATATGTATACAGAAGTTCTATTCGGACTGGCACAATGAAAAGGTGGGGTTCTACAAAGACATATTAATGCTAAAGTGGTCACAACTGAACTTTAACATGGACTTGCGACGACCGGAGCCGTACGTTCGACTTTTTGGAACAAGCCCTGGAATATCAATTATCCTGTTTCGTTCAATAAATGGTCAAACGACGTAGTTGATTCCACTTAAACATGCGCCTAAACTAGAAACAAAGAGACCAAGTGAAACCGCCTGATTATTTCAAGGTCAGCTCTGTGAGAAAAATAGGCAACAAATAAGACTGGGATGACTTCAACATGTCTGGTCAACTTTAACTCTTTGTGGTTCAATATTCCTGCAGCACTATCCTTTGGAGTAGTCACTTCACATATATTCAGTTCTAATAGATCCACGTTTTAGGCCTAGGAGCGTTGCTCAACTCTCAAGGAAAAGTATCTCAGGATTAAGATTACAGTATTTCAGCTACCAAAACTTTCGAAACATGGTTGACATGTGGACAACATTTCCAGGTTTGATGCATTAGTGACCATGTACGATGCAAACCTTTAAATTTGATAGACGTATATCCAGTATTTTCACATTTTCTATACATGACAATTACATGAAAGCCACCACCTTCCTTTTCTTCCCTTTTTTATCAACCACCTATAACTCCATCCACCTATTTCCTTCCTCTTTCTACTGCACGTCTATAATTCTATCCACCTACTGCCTCCCTTCTCCTCTTTCTATTACCCGTCCATTTTGAGTCACTTTGCATTTCATCCTTCTCATTTGTTGACGAATGGACTGTACCAGTTGCACATGACCTTCAACATACCTCTAAGAGCGATGCCATTGATAAGCCACTCTATGTGTGGACTAGGAGTTCCTGTTGCCCGACAGTCTATCACCACGTCTTCTTCCTCAGCAACAGTGACGTCCTGGGGCTCAGTCACCCACGTCGGAGCGGCTGGAACAGGCATTAACTCTATACTCTCGCAAAATGTAGGTTTTAGATAGAGTGATAGAATGGCCCTATTGAATGTTGTTCCAATGCACATACTATGATAAACATCAGCTACAACAATAGGTATCATCACTAGAATTTTGTTAAAATTCTACAAACGTCCTTGTTAACGTCTACCCCTACCTTCTACGTCCACCGTGAACGTCCTTGTTTACCTATACCTCTACCTTCTATGCCCACCGTGAACGTCCTTGTTTACGTCTACTCCTACCTTCTACGTCCACCGTGAACGTCCTTGTTTACGTCTACACCTTCCTTCTACGTCCACCGTGAACGTCCTTGTTTACCTATACCTCTACCTTCTATGTCCACCGTGAACGTCCTTGTTTACGTCTACACCTTCCTTCTACGTCCACCGTGAACGTCCTTGTTTACCTATACCTCTACCTTCTATGTCCACCGTGAACGTCCTTGTTTACGTCTACTCCTACCTTCTACGTCCACCGTGAACGTCCTTGTTTACGTCTATCCCAACCTTCTACGTCCACCGTGAACGTCCTTGTTTACGTCTACACCTTCCTTCTACGTCCACCGTGAACGTCCTTGTTTACGTCTACACCTTCCTTTTACGTCCACCGTGAACGTCCTTGTTTACGTCTACTCCTACTTTCTACGTCCACCGTGAACGTCCTTGTTCACGTCTACCCCTACCTTCTACGTCCACCGTGAACGTCCTTGTTTACGTCTACACCTTCCTTCTACGTCCACCGTGAACGTGCTTGTTTACGTCTACTCCTACCTTCTACGTCCATTGTGAACGTCCTTGTTTACGTCTACACCTACCTTCTATGTCCACCGTGAACGTCCTTGTTTACGTCTATCCCAACCTTCTACGTCCACCGTGAACGTCCTTGTTTACGTCTACCCCTACCTTCTACGTCCACCGTGAACGTCCTTGTTAATGTCTACACCTACCTTCCATGTCCATCGTGAACGTCTGTGTTTACGTCTACACCTACCTTCTAAATCCACCGTGAACGTCCTTGTTTACGTCTACACCCCCTTCTAAGTCCTATGTTAACGTCACTGTTTTACGTCTAAACCTACCTTCTACGTCCACCGTGAACGTCTTTGTTTACGTCTACACCTACCTTCTACGTCTACCGTCAACGTCCTTGTTTACGTCTCCACCAACCGACCTTCTACGTCCACCGTAAACGTCCTTCTTTACGTCTACCTCTACCTTCTATGTCCACCGTGAACGTGCTTGTTTACGTCTACTCCTACCTTCTACGTCCACCGTGAACGTCCTTGTTTACGTCTATCCCAACCTTCTACGTCCACCGTGAACGTCCTTGTTTACGTCTACACTTACCTTCTACAACCACCGCGAACGTCTTTGTTTACGTCTACCCCTACCTTCTACGTCCACCGTGAACGTCCTTGTATACCTCTACCACTACCTTCTACGTCCACCGTGAACGTGCTTGTTTACGTCTACACCTACCTTCTACGTCCACCGTGAACGTCTTTGTTTATGTCTACCCCTACCTTCTACGTCCACCGTGAACGTCCTTGTATACGTCTACCACTACCTTCTACGTCCACCGTGAACGTGCTTGTTTACGTCTACACCTACCTTCTACGTCCACCGTGAACGTCCTTGTGATGGGCATGTTCCCCTGCTGGCTCCCTGAACACATGTACACTCCTGTATCAGCTTCCTCCAGGTTCTCGATCCGCATGTCATAGTTTCCAGGCCCAAATTTAGTCCGTGTTAGGTCCAGCATGGATCCGTCCGCGCGGCTCCAGGACACCTGAGGAAGTGGGCTTGAGAAGCCACAGAGAAATGGTATTTCACATGGAAATAACATCTGAGACTTAGTAGCCAATCAGAAACTCTAGGACACCAGAAGTTGTATTCAGGTAGCTGTTATCACCGAAAGGTGTGGTCGTGAAATAACTTTCATTGGTTCGTGGACTCTATATTCAATAAATAACTTGGTACCTTTTATCAGACTACAGTGAGTGAGGTTTTACGCCTCTTTTCTCCTTTAGCAATATTCCGGCAACATAACGGCGGGGAACATCAGACATGGGCTTCACACATTGTACCCATGTGGGGAATCGATCCCGGGTCCGTGACGAACGGACGCTTTAACCACTAGGCTACCCCACCGCCCTTATCAGACTACAACACCACACACATCTGGGTGATAAATACATTCATGGGTACAGACATTAGTTTGGTCAGATGTACAATCTCTGAACGTGTGAGTCAGTCTGAACCAGGACAGAGGTGAAATTGTGGTGAATTTTTGTGGCCTGGCCGACAGCTCTCTATCGTACGTCATGTCATTTCTGTGGCGCGGGTCGTTTCTAGTGTTTCCAGTCGCTGGCTTGGCACTGGATAGAGTTGCAGGCTGTCGTGGTACAGGAGGATAATTGAAGACCAATTCAGTAGCAATATGTACTCACTTGCCCCCGAATATACACATCATCTTCAGCGTCTTCCCTTGCAGCCCCAGCATCGCGGACGGAGTATGCCACGTCAGAGACATCGGTACCTCGGAAGACCTGCCTACAACACAGTACGTGGGACAATTACATTGTGGACGATCCAGCTGTCTTTCAAAGCTTACTGTTCAAAGCGCCATGAATATAAAGTCGACTCGATTATTTACCATCTGTAAACGACATACCTCTGGTTGGCCTCAATCTGAAGGTATTTCCATAACGCATGGATCTCACGACTTTGTTGTAGGCCACACAGACGAACTGCCCGTCCCCCCGGGATGTCGTCCTCGCTCAGACTCACAAAGTGCAAGTTACCTGCAAAAGTGGGATCAGAAGTGTCTTATGTACATACAGCTGATGATAAAGCTCTGCAACCAAGACTGATAATGCATCGACGACGACGGTAAACTGCAACATCAGTGACAATGTAACAGGGGCTGATTCCAGTAGCTGTTCAACCTGAATTGCGCGGGGAAAAGTAAAATCAGCTACATGTCACTAAGTTTTGTTTAAGTTAAACTGTAGGGAGAAGGATGGGTGGACTGAGTTTCATTTAACCTGAAGTGATTCAGAAACTAAAAGAACAGCTTGACCTACGCGTATAACAATGTGTACCTCCTCTTCAACGTTTCCTCTGATGAAAATTACAGGACCGGATAAGAAATAGAACGTGATTCCTCAAGTCACAATTTCTTAATGGAGGAAATGTGCTGGAAGACATGCGGTGATGGTTTAGTTAGCATGCACGTGTACCTACATAACATTTACACGAAGTTCAATATGTCTATGTTTTGGACTTGTGTCAGCATTTAAAACGTAGTTAAGACTAAAGGTTGTCAACAATGCTAAATCATAACGATTTCGGGAAGCCTTTTCTTAATATTCGGCCGCAAGCAAGTCTTGGAGCAAAACTTTGTTCATAATGTATGTTTGTTGTTTAACGCCGCACAATATTCCAGCTATATTGGGGCGGTCTGAAAATATTCTGGATTCCAAAAAATCCTATGATTGGCATCACGAGAATCAATGTACGCACACAATAGGTTGGTGTTTAACGCCACACTCACATATTCCAGCTAAATGGCGGCGGTCTGTAAATAATCGAGTCTGGACCAGACAATCCAGTGACCAACATCATGAGCATCGATCTACGCAATTGGGATACGATGACATGTGTCAACAAAGTCAGCGAGTCTGACTACTTAATCCCATTAGCATGGGTTACTGAGGACCAATAGGGATAGGATGACAAGCATGAACCTCGTCAGTGAGCCTCACCAAACAGCAAGCATGGGTTGTTATGTTGTAAGTAAAAAGATCGGAACATCTCTTGGGTCAAGGTGTTGTTCATATTTTGAAGTTCCGCAATATTCCACAATCAAGCATTTGAACACTACTGACAGGGGCGTAGGAACAGGGGGGCCTTGTGGGGCACTTTTTTCAAGACGAAACCATATCTACCTTACCATTACTACAATTTCATTTTGATTTTCAATACTTTTCATAAATTAGCACCCCCGTTCTGAAAACCGTTCCTACGCCCCTGACTGATACGTATCATACCAAAACATCATTGCTTACCGTAACTTCAAAAGTTTTGATCACATGTTGATTAAAACAGACCCCTTGTTGTACATTGTGTTACAACATGTCAACACTGGCCCCGGGGGCATTGGGGGTAGCCTTGTGGTTAAAGCGTCTGCCCGTCACGTTGACGACTTGGGTTACAATGTGTGAAGCCCATTTCTGGTGTTCCCCACCGTGATATTGATGGAATATTGCTAAAAGCGGCGTAAACCCATACTCACTCACTCAACGCTGACCCAGAAGACGTCATCATTTCAAGACACGTACTAAATAAGTTTAATAAGTTTCTTACTAACACTTCCTTCGCAAAACCACTTACCCATATAATCTGTGACGATTGTCTCCGAGGGCTCTACAAGCACTAAATTCTCGTCCTCTTCGTAATCGTAGTTGTCGTATTCGTTGTCGAACTGGTAGGACCACACACTCTTCGGTTCGGGAACGCTCCGAGGGGGGTTACAATTGAGCTTCAAAGGGTACCCTAGCCGTGGACGCAGTGTTCTGACCTCGGAGGTGCCGGGGGGTCCAACCCACCCCTGGGTCAGTTCGTATTTGGTGGACAAGGATATCCCATGTATGTTCTCAGCTCGGCATTGGTAGTAGCCATCATCTGACTGCTGGGCGCGTTGGATCACAAGCGTGTTGTTTGCGTCTACGCCCACGCGGTCTCTGTTGATGTCGCTATTGTAGTCAATGTTGACGCCGGATTTCAACCAATACAGGCTGGAAAGCAACTTCACAAAATATATCCAAATATTTGTAAAATATGTTGCACGTTGTGACCCAACTTTAATGAATATACACCAATACTAAGACAACTTACAACCCCGTATTCAGGGCGATCACTGCTAGGAACGTCCATATATACACAATATACATTTCTCGTGCCCATGGTTTGTTTATCCGTGCGATTTAACTGTAGTAAAGTTAATGTACATCTAAAACATGGGTATACAGGTATTGTAAATCCATGTTTTGTTAACATATATAAACAACAGTAGCCGTTGGATTGTACGATTTTCCTGGTGATATGTTTCAACCATATGTGCGGGTTGGTTGTTTTAACATACTGTATACTGCAAGGTTCAAACTGGTAGACAATGACCTTTACACACGTGAAGTGTTTGGTCACCCCCACCGTCAGCAGCCAGTAATGTAATGTGTACTTACACAGGTGAGGGGCGTCTCACGAAGTCACAGTGACCTTGACACACGTGAAGTGTTTGCTCACCCCCACCGTCAGCAGCCAGTAAGGCAATGTGTACTTACACAGGTGAGGGGCGTCTCACGAAGTCACAGTGACCTTGACACACGTGAAGTGTTTGGTCACAAGCAACAGCAGCAGCCAGTAAGGCAATGTGTACTTACACAGGCGAGGGGTGTCCCAGGGTCACAGTGACCTTGACACGCGAAGTGTTTGGTCACAAGCAGCAGAAGCAGCAGCCAGTAATGTAATGTGTACTTACACAGGTGAGGGGCGTCTCACGAAGTCACAGTGACCTTGACACGTGGAGTGTTTGGTCAGCAGCAGCAGCCAGTAAGGTAATGTGTACTTACACAGGTGAGGGGCGTCTCACGAAGTCACAGTGACCTTGACCTTGACACGTGAAGTGTTTGGTCATCAGCAGCCAGTAAGGTAATGTGTACTTCACACAGGTGAGGGTGTGCCAGGGTCACAGTGACCTTGACACGTGAAGTGTTTGGTCACCAGCAGTCAGTAAGGTAATGTGTACTTACACAGGTGAGGGGTGTGCCAGGGTCACAGTGACCTTGACACGTGGAGTGTTTGGTCATCAGCAGCCAGTAAGGTAATGTGTACTTACACAGGTGAGGGGCGTCCCAGGGTCACAGTGACCTTGACACGTGAAGTGTTTGGTCACCAGCAGTCAGTAATGTAATGTGTACTTACACAGGTGAGGGGCGTCTCACGAAGTCACAGTGACCTTGACACACGTGAAGTGTTTGCTCACCCCCACCGTCAGCAGCCAGTAAGGCAATGTGTACTTACACAGGTGAGGGGCGTCTCACGAAGTCACAGTGACCTTGACACACGTGAAGTGTTTGGTCACAAGCAACAGCAGCAGCCAGTAAGGTAATGTGTACTTACACAGGCGAGGGGGGTCCCAGGGTCACAGTGACCTTGACACGCGAAGTGTTTGGTCACAAGCAGCAGAAGCAGCAGCCAGTAAGGTAATGTGTACTTACACAGGTGAGGGGCGTCTCACGAAGTCACAGTGACCTTGACACGTGGAGTGTTTGGTCAGCAGCAGCAGCCAGTAAGGTAATGTGTACTTACACAGGTGAGGGGCGTCTCACGAAGTCACAGTGACCTTGACACGTGAAGTGTTTGGTCATCAGCAGCCAGTAAGGTAATGTGTACTTACACAGGTGAGGGGTGTGCCAGGGTCACAGTGACCTTGACACGTGAAGTGTTTGGTCACCAGCAGTCAGTAAGGTAATGTGTACTTACACAGGTGAGGGGTGTGCCAGGGTCACAGTGACCTTGACACGTGGAGTGTTTGGTCATCAGCAGCCAGTAAGGTAATGTGTAATTTACACAGGTGAGGGGCGTCCCAGGGTCACAGTGACCTTGACACGTGAAGTGTTTGGTCACCAGCAGTCAGTAAGGTAATGTGTACTTTACACAGGTGAGGGCGTCTCACGAAGTCACAGTGACCTTGACACGTGAAGTGTTTGGTCACCAGCAGTCAGTAAGGTAATGTGTACTTACACAGGTGAGGGGCGTCTCACGAAGTCACAGTGACCTTGACACGTGGAGTGTTTGGTCATCAGCAGCCAGTAAGGTAATGTGTACTTACACAGGTGAGGGGTGTCCCAGGGTCACAGTGACCTTGACACGTGAAGTGTTTGGTCACCAGCAGTCAGTAAGGTAATGTGTACTTACACAGGTGAGAGGCGTCTCACGAAGTCACAGTGACCTTGACACGTGGAGTGTTTGGTCAGCAGCAGCAGCCAGTAAGGTAATGTGTACTTACACAGGTGAGGGGCGTCTCACGAAGTCACAGTGACCTTGACACGTGAAGTGTTTGGTCATCAGCAGCCAGTAAGGTAATGTGTACTTACACAGGTGAGGGGTGTGCCAGGGTCACAGTGACCTTGACACGTGAAGTGTTTGGTCACCAGCAGTCAGTAAGGTAATGTGTACTTACACAGGTGAGGGGTGTGCCAGGGTCACAGTGACCTTGACACGTGGAGTGTTTGGTCATCAGCAGCCAGTAAGGTAATGTGTACTTACACAGGTGAGGGGCGTCCCAGGGTCACAGTGACCTTGACACGTGAAGTGTTTGGTCACCAGCAGTCAGTAAGGTAATGTGTACTTACACAGGTGAGAGGCGTCTCACGAAGTCACAGTGACCTTGACACGTGGAGTGTTTGGTCATCAGCAGCCAGTAAGGTAATGTGTACTTACACAGGTGAGGTGTGTCCCAGGGTCACAGTGACCTTGACACGTGAAGTGTTTGGTCACCAGCAGTCAGTAAGGTAATGTGTACTTACACAGGTGAGAGGCGTCTCACGAAGTCACAGTGACCTTGACACGTGAAGTGTTTTGTCACCAGCAGCCAGTAAGGTAATATGTACTTACACAGGTGAGGGGCGTCTCACGAAGTCACAGTGACCTTGACACGTGAAGTGTTTGGTCAGCAGCAGCAGCCAGTAAGGTAATATGTACTTACACAGGTGAGGGGCGTCCCAGGGTCACA